TAAAAAACAATTCAATCCAGGCTGGAAGGCTTCAATCTGATCTGCCGATGCAAAGTCAAGCTACGCTTCCTTCAACCTGCCTTTCTAGACTATGTGTGCGCCTATCGCTATTTTGAAACTATTCTATAATTTAATAAATAAAGACATGCAACAATTGTCGGCCCGTTGCACAGTTTTACAGGGTCTACTTGTTGCAAACAAATATATCACAGCACACTTTTATCACACGCTGTTCGGAATTTATACTGAATAGTAGTTCCTGCCGTGCAATGCACACTCGATCAAACCAGCTGTCATTTACGGTTCAGTCAACAAGACATCATTATTATAAACAAACATGGAGGATTTACAGCTTAAAAATTATTGAATATTATTGCATAGTCCTCGAAGTGAAGTTCAAATATTTTTAGAAACCTCGTGCCCTTACCTCCGTCATCTAGCAAGAATCCATTTCTCCTTTTTGCTCTCTACGGAATCGGACATTCCTATTCCGCCACTCTTCGCATTCAGCAGCCGGATCTTCTTATCTCATAATCGCGATGCCAAAACGGAACACCCCACAGGGTAATCAACCCAGCAAAATTGACAAAATCACCGCAGCAGGGCAATGACAAGATCCAATTCGTCTCAGCCTTCGCAGCACGGGCTCATTTTCTATGTTCGAGCTTCGAAAACCGTGGTACCAAATTTTCCCAGTGATGCGTCCAAAACTGCTTACTTCTCCTTGTCATTGCGTTTCTGGTTAAGCGATACGTCTTTGAGTGTTCCGAAGTACTTGTTGTCTTACAGGTTTTTCTAATGTTTGCAATTGTTTTGACTATCCTCATCTTAGCTTGGAAAATTAATAGCCAACTAGGATCTTACATAGGGAGGAAAGATTGCCCAGAATTTTGATTAACCACCTACGTAAAAAAAGCCTTTTCCATTTTTAACTTGTTTAGGCGAAAAGAGAACAGCAATTGTGGCCTGCACCACGAAATAGAAGTACCGAACAAAGCAAGTGCACTGGTGAGGTTTCTGCAAAACTGCCAAAAGGAGAAACCCAGGCTGGAACGCACCAGGTGGGCCGGTGCGATCAAGCGTTTTTGCACCTTTCGTGCCATAGCGAGGTCTCAAGGGATCGTAGTAGCTAGTCCTGTGACATACTGGCCCTCGAAGTTTGGGAAGTTAATTGTGCAGCTCTGTGGCATGTCAGTTGTAAGTGTCGACATCAGTGACCCGACAAACAGAAAGATGCTGATCCGCAAAAAAGGCCCTACTAGAAGAGTTAAATTTGAAATTTTTTAGTAGCACATGAGCAGGGAACATTCCCTTAAAATTAAAGCCTTCCAGCTTTTCTCTTTCCCGAGTTGGCAATTCTTCCACAAAAATTTTCACGCACCCGTACTTGAGTCCAGGGCGGTCATAAGCAGCTGAATTTGACATCTTTTGGTAGTACTTGCATGGGAACCAATCCACTATTGTTTCAGCTTTTTAGCTTCCCTCGTTCCCGCGTTAGTGATTTTCCCGCCAAAATTTCCACGTGCCCGTACATCGGTCTCGGGCACCTCCAAACAGCTAGTTTTGGTCGTACATTAGTAGGGAACATGCCCCTAAAGTTTCAGCTTTTTAGCTTTACCCGTTACCAGGTTAGTAATTTTCGTGCCAAAAACCTTCATGCGCCCGTAAGTGAGCCCCGAGCCGTCCTAAAGAGCTAGGTTTGAAAACTTTTGGTCGTACATGAGCATGGAACATTCCCCTAAAAGTTCAACTTTCTAGCTTTTCTCATTCCCAAGTTATGAATTTTCCCGCCGTAACTTTCACGTGCCGCACGTAAGCCCCGGGCAGTCCTGGACAGCTGAATTTAAAATCTTTTTGTCATACACGTGTAGGAAGCATTACCCTAAGGTTTCAGCGCTCTAGCTTTTCTCGTTCCCGGGTTATCAGTTTTCGCGCCGAAACTTTCACTTGCTTGTACGCTGGGCTCAAACGTGCGTGAGAGTTAATGCCGCGTACCTGGGGTGGCAATTGGCTGGAGAACACATTGGCAAAACTTCAGCCTCAAATCTTGCGTGGTTGGCGAGTTGAAATACCCGGGCTGACGAACACACACACACACACATGCACACACACACATGCACACACACACACACACACACACAAACACATACAAACATACACACACACACTGACAGGGTCGTTGCAATATGCGTTTTTGCTGCCTATTGCAGCGCTCTAGCGCTGCACAGCAAAAACGCATGAAAATGAAAACTGTGGAAGGGCGCAGTGGGATGAATTTTGAAAGAAAAACGAAAAGTGTGAGGCGTCAACAAGTAGAACTGTTGAACTGC